CAAGTTTTAAAAATATTTCGATATGGAGAGGATAAACTTTAGAGTTGACGCAATTAAATGCTCTGGGAGATTTTTAAATTTTATTTCGTGATATTATCAATATCTCTGTAGCAATGGCAAACCTTTCTGAGAAGTTCACGTAGTTTTTCCATTTCACAACGCATCGTATTGCAATACTGCACACAATCCCACATCATACGTGCTATATCAGTGTCATCCCGCGTATCCATGGGGATATCTTTATGCAGTGGTGCAGAAAGTCGAAAAAACGGCACATTCATGCTGTGACACCAAGAACGGGCTCGTTCAACTGGCGCTCCTTCCGTTGCAGTTACCTGGAAAATGCAGTTGACAACTATTGTTATCCATAATGCAGCATATTATATCCAAAATTGTCATGAAAGATTGTAAGATCGAAAACATCCAGTGCCTAAAAAACCTGCTCGACGAGTATAACTCCCAAATTCTTGATGGCAACAGCGGAAGAGTATGGGTTTGATGAGATTTCCAAATTTGATGTTGATAAAGGCATTGTTGGTATAACACCGGTACCGACGCTTAACAAACAACCAAGCTGCATGGCATTATTTTCTGAACTTGTCTGAAAAATATTGAAAAATCATGTTATATAGTGGTATCTAATACTGAATGCATTGACTGAAAGACGTTCATGTCAAAACAAAGAAAAAACCGTAAAAGAAAATAAACCATTAATCAAGCATTTTATTTTCTGTGCACAATACGTTACAGATTTTTTTTTAAAATCACAACCTGCTTGATATATATATAACAATCGAAAAATAAAACATACGAAGTGATTAAAATCTACAAACCTACCAAAAAATGCTTAGTAGTATTCCAAAATGCTAATTCAGAAAGCAATTCTAAGGCGGGATTATTTGAAATAATACCGCCATCAATATATCTATTATCAACGGAACTAAAATATGTTGGTGCTGCTGAAGTTCGTCGTAGTGCTTTCCACAGTAAAGTATCTGCAAAAGTTACCACTGTTAATTTTGGATAATACAAAGAAATTGTTGGAACATTATTTTTCCAAATAAAATAGTCGAAATCCGAGGATTTACAAAATATAACGTACCAGCAGGATCGGTATATCCAAGGGATGAATTTTCTTCGTCTGACAAAGGTAATCGAAAATTTCGCATTAATTCCAAACGCACTGGGAAACAATCTGCCCGTACTGTTGTCAAAATTAGTCTTGAAAACAAGGATAAATTTTATACATTGCTATATGTTAATCGTATAACACTAAAAAATATTACATAAATAAATCACACAAAAAGAAGGCAGTCCATCATACTTACTTAGGCCAAGGTATAGAAGCGAGGGTCATATCTGTGCCAACTTCTGCTTGTATAAATAATTCTAATAAAGCCGTATTATACGGTCGGGTCCAACTGTCAAAAACAAGATCCTTTAGACGCAAATAAATTTGCTGACATTCACGCAATGTTTTCCCTGCAAATAAAATCTCAATTAGCAAAGTGGAGAATTACTACATGGCTGCCACAACTTATTTGGAGCAATTTTAATCATGTTATATCAATAATTATCCAGAAAGAACACAAACCTAAAGCTAAAGCAGCAGCAATGATTCCACCTGTAGAGGTACCAGCAACCATATCAAAATATGAAAAAAATGGTTCTCCCATTACTTTCTCAAGTTCCAGTAGCATCTGAAACAGTAAAACCACCACTACTAAATTATCCTTTCCCTCTTCTCACCACAGCCCCAACTTTAAGCTCCTTTATGAGAAAAAGGAACAACTGCACAGTGCTAACAGAAAATCAACAAAAATGAGAAAAAAGACGTACGAAGAAACAATTATTACTTGTATGATAACAAGACCACGAATTCCACCACCATCAAGTGACAATAAGTTCACAAAATCTGGTATTTCCTTCTTTACTACTAATTCTTCCAATTTCTTCATCATTTGTTCGTAACAAAACTAAAATATACCGGTAATGACAAAACAAGTATCAGCTTCCAGGTTTTAAAATTCCACGTTACAGTAAATTCAAAAAAGCAACACCGCTACAAACCTTCTGCTTAAAATCCTGAATAGAGTTGCTGACTTTAACATCTACGGATGTTTCCAGGTCATCCATGAAGGCAGAACTACCAGTTCGAGGAATCATATAATTTTCAGCACTTTCTATCAATGACCATGAAACATCCTTCATTTCATCCAGCTTCTTGCCGTTCACACATCCAGAAACACATCCACTTTTCCCTCCACTTTCACAGCGACGTGCACCACAAATTGCAAGACTTTTTACCAAATCCCATCTGAAAGTAATGCTTTTGTGAACAAGTTTACAAACGAAATATAATCTAGAAACTTTGTAACCATCAAAACGCTGAACTTACTCCTGAAGCTTAGAAGCAAGATGTCGCGGAGTCTCACCATGTTTATTTTTTACGTTTGGATCAGCGCCTAAGCAGAGAAGCAATCGAGTCATTAATAGGTCCCTTCTTGAAACAGATAAATGAAGAGCGGTATCACCACTTCGATCTGGCACATTCAAATCGCAATTATAGGACGACAAACTCATAACCATACCTAGGAATTATTTAATTAATCAAGACGGTTTGTACTTAACATAAATATCTGGAACAACATTATGGATATGTATGAAATGTAGAAATACGTCTCGACTTCTCACGGAGATAAACAATGCCTATGTTGTGGAAGAGTAAACTGAAAAAAAAGGACAAAAAAAAGAAAAAAAGAAAAATGGACTGATTACGTAAACCACTAACCAACATCACCTTTACTGACGTACATATGAATCGGTGCCTGTCCAGCATTGTTTCGAGCATTCAGATCAAGTTCCTTGTGTTTAAGGGATAGTAATCCCATTAACGGTGTTTTAAACTGTGCTGCGTGTAATATTGTGTTCCCTGTAGCTGGATCTTTTTCATGCAGTAATTTGGGAGAAGCTTCAAGTAATGTCCGGATTACTTCCGCTGATTTTCCTTTACTTTGCATCGCTTCAAAAAGTGGAGATCGACCAGCAACACGAATATTGACTTCAGCACCATGTGAGATCAAAGTTGATACTATCCGTGGATTTGCATTCCGGATTGCAATCAGTACAGGAGTATATCCATCGTGATTGGTTGTATTCAAAAGAGAATGCGTCTTATCAAATTCCCAAAGCAATTCTAACATAGTCACCGATGCTAAGGCTGCATAATGTAATGAATTATTCCCTTTAATATCTCGTGCTGCCGGGTCGGCACCAAGTTCCAGAAGTCTTCGAACGATTTCCAAGCGGTGCATTTCGATCGCAAGCATTAACGGATAACGACCTTCCGGCTGTGCAGTTACTTGAAGCATCCTGAAAAGATATTGTGATTTAAAAATTACGTCACAACTGAAGTATGTTAAAAATGATTTTAAAAAAAAAGGATCCGTAGCGTGCATCCACCAACAAGGTCTTTTATACACGTAGTCGTAAAGTGACTTACACATCAAATAAACCCTCATTTGTCGCTTGAAACCTTTTAATGCTTTCATCTGCAAAAAAATCGGTCCGATTCGTAGCGATTGCGATTGGAACAATTAGCCAGAGTGGATGCGCACGCAGCGCAGTTACCAAATCTCGTACTAGCCTACGATTATCACTCTGCATGTCTGTAAAAAATCAATAGTTTACTATAAAAAAACAAAGAAAACAAAGTTTCATGACAAACAAAACAACTCCGAACTGAAAGCTTGTCGGACAGTAAAATATACTTACCGAGCAGCATAAACAGTGCTTCACAATCATAGCACCGATTACATAAATCGATAGCTTCTTGAATTTCATGGGTTCGGAATATGCTTACAGTAACAAGCAATTCAACCTCTTCTCGTCTATTATCGTTTTTTTCTTCATTTTCCTTCGAAAATAGCACATGGAATAGTGGTGCTGCAGGTCGATTCTTCAGTGTGCCCTGTACAACGCGCAGTCCCTTTTTGCTATTACTGTGAGGATAGACGGAATTATGAGCTCGCAACAACTCTACCGGAAATGGCACTACCTAAACAATAGAATCAGTAAAATACACAGTCTTCTGTTAAATGAAACCAATAGTTAACATCTATTAATGTCATATGTATGGAGGAAGAAATGAAATACTTCATAACAATCGGAAGGTATCCAATAATCTTCACCAAAAACGCGTTCTCGTGCGCTTGACCAAAGTTCACCGAGTTTATGTGAAACTTGAGCTAATGAAAACAAACTGAAATTTTCGAACTTGTAAAAAGAGATAAAGTAGAATTTATTGAGTTTTGCCTAATGTTCATGTACACTAATGCTGTTAACTACAGTTTGATGAAGGCTGATTTAGTCGTTTTATTCTAAGACGAATTTCCCATATATTTACGAAAACCTGACCTTGGTTTGACTGAGGTTTTCCTTGTTGTTGGTGATGGCGGTGGTGTTGTAACTCCTTCTTCAGATGCCAAAGTCGATGATGGCATACTTCCAATTTCCGATAAAATAGCCGTTTCGGCATTCGCTTGAGCTTCATCGATTTCTTGCGACGAAGATACCTTGAGAGACGATTCACTGATCGACGAAGATATCTTGAGAGATGATTCACTGATCGACGAAGATATCTTGAGAGACGATTCACTGATTGTTGTAGTCAAGTTACTGTACAGCAACGAAGCGGTACCAATTTGTTCACTAATCATTTCAACCGGCTTTTCATCCTCAGTTTTACTCTCATCTGCATCAGTTATTTGCGAACTAATGCCCACAGTAATGGCTTCTAGTGTCGATGTATTTAAATCAGTCATTGAATATACCTGTCTACTGCTTCCTTCGCTTTTCAATATTCATCACGATTGCTCTTTAAAAACAGTGATTACTATGTTAATAAGGAAAGATATGTTACATCTTATTCGACGATACTACGTTTACCGTTCGCACGACACAACATCTAGTTTTACTTGAAACTGTTGAAACTTAAATGATTTTTTCATTAACATAATCCTTCACACATTATGTACTTTATGGAATTTTCCAGTAACTGCTACAACTCAAATACTACCATACTTCTATGTTGTGTAGTAAATCTTTGTTCAGCTCAATGATCGTCGACCTGCAGATGCTGTATATGTGATCTGATGCCTAAAATACATATGCTTAACGTCAAATGCAGCAGCACTTGAAATTATCCTGCGAACGGAATACTCAGCAAATAAGCTGTTCGTTAAACAAGGTATTCAATAGATAAGGTTTGTTGCTTCATCTCTCATCCCTTACTACCTGATCGCTCCTAACTGAGTGGCAGTTTTTCACATAACAGAACCCTTTTAAAACCTAATAAATCTCCAATCCGTACACAGAAACTCTTAACAAAGACCTTATCACCAAACCAGCTAATTAAATTCGCCGAAATGCAATATCGCGCAACTTGCGTCTCAACTCATCGTCCACATTCTGGCAAGAAGTGCACGACTTCCTAACACTGTATCTCCTTTGACACAATACTATTTATTTACCTACAGCCTTCACCCAGCATTGTTTTCTATCGTAGCAATCTATGACACTCTTCAACAATCGTTATCTCTTTGATAAACCTCGACAAATTCACCATTTCTCTGACGTCCGCTTTTCATAGAAAGTCACGAAAGTGACTCCATGCAATTTTATATCCCAAAGTTAAGCCTCCTCTTAACAGAGGAAAAGTGCAAAAGAGGGAAAGGGAAATAATCAAACGATAAATGTCACTGCTAAACGACATGGAAATGGCCTAGAGCAGAGTGAAGTTGATACATCACTGTCTTAGATTGAACAGGCCTATATTATAACCAATCATCCTCTCCCTCACTTCCTTACTTCCATAACGGAAGGAAAAGAACAACTTCATAGGCTGTCTTATTTGAATTTATCACACTAAGCACTGAGAGTACTTAACTGCAGCTATCGTTATTTTGGCCCAGCTCCAAATGCATTCATAAATGACCAGTATAAGCCGAGTTTCAATCACTATTTGTTGAAATTTTAATGAGTAAACTAGTATCTTTTCATTTCGATTACAATTTCCACTAAATCTATCACCAACGAAAAGCTGAATTGATCGTATTACTTAATGAATCATCTCTGATCATCCGTCTATCAAGCAAAAGATTTTCTCCAATAGTTTTTTTTTTTTTTGACAATATTTTAGTGCTAAACCACAATTCTCTAATAAATGTAAACTGTAATATATTCCAAAATATTGTAGATCTTTGTGATTTTATTTGTTCACTGTGCAGAATAATCAATTTCGTAAGAGACTATCCCTTATGAAATGCTAAGTTCATCCATTTATCAATTTTCAAGCTTCAAAAATTTGAAATTTAAGCTATAGCTCAAAAGCATAGTATTCAAGGGTTTGAAAAAGATTACAGACGATTCGAAATGGTCGTTTGTCCACAACTGCTTCCTATTTACTCATACAATGTGTTACCATGGTGACGATATACATTTGCATACCTGATGAAATAACGCTCGCATGGCATTGTTTGCCAACATTTCCCGATTTGTCCACTCTGATTATTCACTATAAAAAGTAAAATAAGAGCAATCTTTCCGCATTGTTTTGGTATCTGTATACACACTACAAGTTCTTCTATAAGCTGAAGCTATGGCTATAATTGCATGTATTGTTTCCCACTTCTCTTAATGGATTCCGCTAGGCTGCTAAGAGATTTGACGAAGCTGTAAATGGGTTCTGTTGGTCTCAGTGTATGGCATCCATTGTACATTTAATAGTTAAAAAAAAAGAAAAAAAAACGTGAAGTTGAAAAAAAGATTGTAATTAAGAGACCATTAAATGAATAAGTCTCAATAGTTTATATTGATTGTCTGCGCATATTAGGCTTGCATATCTTTCTCTCTCTCTCTCTCTCTTTGTGTATGTGTTTGACATGTGGACTCATGCAGGTTCCAGTGACTAAGGCTCTTTTTTTCAGAAGCCTATCCAAGCATTTGTCATTTATATCACTGGCAAGCTTAGCAAAAGCTATTTCTCACCTTTCCGAATCTGATTACATCCTAAATAAACTTCCTGATTAATTGGAAAAGTTTTTTTTCTTGAAAATCATATTGAAATCTTACAGCTAATTCCTGGAATGTATCTTTATGTTATGAATTATTGTATGTAATTATTCTCTGGCACAGCAGCGAAACTTTCATTCCAGAACTTTCATTCAGGTTTTATGGAATGGATCGTCGCGGAGCATTTCAGGGTGGTTTTGGTAGCAGCAGTACCGGTAGTTTAGATAGTCACGCTTCATTTGGCTATGCTGAGAGATGGTCCAGGTATTTGAGCCGAGCTACTTTTCACTCAGAAAAAAATACTCAAGTTTGCCTACCCTTATGGTCATTTTGCGCCTTATCTGACCTATTAAGAGTGGAAGTGGGAACTGAAATTCTTCCATGTTCTTTCACCAGATATTCTCACTTCCTAAAAATGTGATTGATTACGGAAATTATTCTGCAAATTAATGAAATAAAACGTTGATTTTAACATCATGGCATCTTTTTAGTACTTGAATGAGTTTTTATGCTTTGATTGGGATTCATTTGAGAAAGAAAACTGATGTTTCAACTGTTTTGTTTATATTTGTTTTTAAATTAATTTCTCAACTTTTCTAACAGTCGAAAGAAAACTAATGACAGAAATAAGGTTAGCTCTTCTTCTTTTTCTCTTTTTTAAAATTCCCATCCTTCAAATTTTTGATGAAAAGTTTTGCAGCTCAACAAGAAGTCAAGTTGGTGGACCACGGCGAATAGGTAGTGGTTTACGTCGTATAACGCTTGATTGGGATAAGCCATGGGTTCCGGTAACAAAGCTTGGTCGTTTAGTAAAGGATGGGCGAGTAGCTACCATCGAGGAGATCTACCATAGATCGATACCCATTCTAGTCGGTCACCTCACCTTACTATTGTAATTTAATAATAGCATATTGATTACTGCAAAACTATATTATTTCTTTTAAATCGAAATTACTTTTCCCTTTACAGTTTTGAAATTTATTGGTACTTTGGAAGTTTACGTAATACATATGATCTTTACACGTGACTTTCGACAAGAATGCTCTAATAAAAAACAATTACTTCATCTTCCAGTTAAAGAAGAGGAAAAACTGCAGGAATATCAAATTGTGGACCTACTGGTGCCAAATTTAAAGGAGCAAGTGTTGAAGATTCTTCCCGTACAAAAGGAAATCCGAAATGGGTTGCGTACTCGATTTCGGGCGTTTGTTGCTATTGGTGACAGGGATGGGCACGTGGGTCTTGGAATGCAGTGTGCAAAGCGTGTCAGCACTGCGATTAGACGTGCGATTTATCGTGCCAAGACAGCGGTAGTTCCTGTTCGTCGAGCCTATTGGCACATAGAACATGGCCTGCCTCATACTATACCCTGCAAGGTACTCACCATAATCTGTTTTCTTTTTTTAAGGTTTAAATAGCCTACTCGATGTTATTGATTTTTTAATACTGCACTCTGTAGCAAACTTATTGTTAGGGTTTTAAAGCGAAACACTGAAATATAGCAAAAATTATAATCTTGAGAACTTTCACCGAAAGAAAATTAGTTTAGATAATGGTTCGTTACTGTGACGTGCGAGTAACACTTTATCCAGCTCCTCGCGGCACCGGTATTAGTGCACCACCCATAGTGCAGAAACTGCTACACTTAGGTGGCATTCAGGATTGCTATACGTCAGCATCCAGTTATACAACGTTAGGCCCAGTTGCAAAGGCTACATTCCTCGCCATTCAGCGTGCTTACTTGTTCGAACCGGAGAGTGAGAAGAATGAAGAAGACAATGCTTTCCGGAACTGATGCAATTTAACTCATCATGATCTTCATTGTCCGAAACAAGTCTGAAAAGTTCCGTTTATTCCTGAGTTTTCCCAATTTTTCCGGGCAGATTAGATTACTTTAGCGGTAGATTAAATTACTTTATAGATTATAATCATACTTCAGACTTCAAAAGCTTACAAATACAAAAGCTTACAAATATTGTTCTCGAGGTTTCACAGATTTGAGTAAACAATATTATTTTTGAGTTTGTTTGTGAAATTTGAAAACCTTTGGTAGTCTATCATTTCATTCTCTTGTTATCTTCTGAAAAGATAGAGATGATTCAGGAAAAATGCATTAACATCGAGCTCTAACGCTTTCTTTTACGCGTTCAATTTTGGCTTCCTAATTTATGTCAAACTCGTTATTTGTTGAAAAATTTCCGTCTCACTTCAATTCAAAATGTAAATCTAGAAATTTAAATCTTTCAACTGTTTCGGTCTAGAATTCATTCTCCTCACATGATGAACACAAAACTTTTTTTTAACATCAATATTTCAAGCGAGCCTAATTTTTGTGCTTTTCATTTATTGCTGGATTTGAGACTTTTATTACGCTTTTTTTTATTTTTCATTCATTATACAAAATAAATTTTACTATAGGAGCATTTCTTTGTGTCACTGAATCGAGTGCTTTGTCCCCAAGCTACTTGCTTATTTCATTGCATCATCAAATATTTAAGAGAACTTACTGAAATATAACAGCTAAATTCACATAATTTACCGGTTCCCAAAACAAAATTTTTTGAGATCAGTCATTAGTTGGTGACAGATCTAGCTATGGAGTAACGTAACGTCGACAAAGATGCTTCAGACATCCTATTCAGAATAACACTTCAATTTGAAACTTGTTTCCTCCACCCGTAACACCAAAACCACACCTTCTTTTATTGCTAATAAAATGTTCTCTACACATTAAAGTTTGATTAGAAATGCAAAAATACCATTAAAGCGTATCATTCTTGTAATCTGTATTTATTCACACTGTGTTTTCAGGGAAATGCAAGTTTTCTGGAGTTTCTTTATGCACCAGCTAATACAAATCTCTTTTTGCACTAAATGTGACGCGTGGTTCTATTTTCCCACAACTTTTTAGATGACCAATCGTGTACGATCGTTGGCAACTCGGGTCACTGCAAGTTTAACAACAGTTCAGCCACTTTCATCTTCTGCTGCTTCAACTGTAATCATCGATCTTCTGTTTGATATTTCATAACCTGAGCAGTAAAATTTAGTCATAATTCTAATTTGTTTAGACTTTAGACTGCTTAAATGATATGAAAAAATTATTTTCCAGGGTAATGACGAGATGATGATTGAGAAACCTTCCTTGAAACGAATCGAATCATTCACTTCACATATACATCATTTTGCTATCACATCACCTATTGCACATCATTCTTCGGATGAAAATGGTGAGCAATATCTTCATGTCACATTCGATATTATCTTCTTTCAGCAAAGAGGATGGGTTAAAAGATTAACGTCTACGTTGCAAAGTACTATTGCGTCAATCGCTTTTGCGATGACTGACCAGACAGCACTGATAACAATGATAGTATCAATAATCTCAACATTCCTTGTACCTTAAACTCAACTTTTGTCTTCTTCATCTTAGCCATTCCCATGCATTTTCCTATAAAACTTCTAAATTTTTTGCAATACATTGTTTTCTCAGTTTCAAGCACTATTATTATGTCTGGAACTCTCGATATTTGAAAATTACCATTCAAATTTGAACTTATTTTTGCCTCACTAACCAGGATATATTAGATTTTCCAACATTCATCATCTTTATGACTTTCTGAATGCTAAACTTTTTTTTCGTAAATGTTGAAAATTTTTTTTTTTGAATTGGCAAGCACTGATAACATACAGATAGAATTTTCGCTTAACTTTCTGAATGAAGATTACAGTTTCAAGTCCGGAAAGCCCAAAATTGCATGATATTGTGGATGCTGCCCAGGAGGAGAACATAGCATTTAAAAATGAAGCTGCAACGAATCAATATTTCACGTATGACGTTAAGCATGCGCAACTCAGGTCCATCTCTAGTCGTTTACAAATTTTTGGGAACAAACAATTGCAAACAATCCTGTTTCGTCTAGGATGTTGAAACTGGATGAGACTTTTTGCAAAATTTTTGACATAATAGCAGCAGCAGTAATCCAACGTTAGATCAACGTTATTCACGCTTCATCTCACTCCTTTTTTTTTCGTAATGACTAAAATTAGTCTCTTGGGAAGCCAAGAATGAGCAAATCAGGAAAGGAATCAAGTTGCAAAAGTTGTTAGCTAAAAACATAAGACACACCTCACCTCTCTTCATTTTTATCTTATGTATATTATTATCGTTGTTTCGCTTCACTCAGTAAGTTTTTCAGAATAACGGTACTTGGTCCCGGTGGAGTTACTATCCCCGAAGTGGATCGATTAAGGCATTTGATACCGGATGGAACAATTACTGTCATGTGTTTAACTTGGAATGTTGCCTCAAGGGTTATTAAAATTTCTCTTTTTTTCCATTAAATCGATGAATTTTTTTGCAAGTTCAGTAAATTCGAATTATTTCAAACTCTAAAAATTCTCATCTGCTTCAGAGAACCCTGAAAATTAGCAAGGGTTCTTAATTCGCACTGGTTAGAATAAATCATAATTGCGCTTTTCAGTCACAAAATCATTTATCGAATATCGGAAAACTGATTACAAATGAAAGACCTACGGATAGAGCTGATCTGATTTGTTTGTGTTTTCAGGAGCTTCCATCAATAAATGCGTTTTGTTTTTTTTTTTTTTTGTTCTGCCCCTCATATTATTGGTTTTTGAGTTTTCTGAAGTAAAAAAGGAAAAAAACTGAAGCAAAATTTCAAATTTTTAGATATTATCATCAGGAAACGGTGAAGTCGCTAACCGAAGCTGTCGCAGACACACATCTGATATTTTGCTGGGTACGGAAATGGTCGCAACTGGTAATTGTTTTTATTCGGGAGTCTCTGGTTGCATACACCTCAAGTTTGTTATTCCACTGTTTTTGCTAGTGAGCTATTTTAAAACACTTTGGATTTTGGAGACTGAGAAATTTATAGGACCTAAAATACGGTTTAAATTAGAAAATTTAAAGGGTCTAAATTGATGCATAGATTTGTATTAGTTAAGTATGAATCGGATACTTTTAGGTACTTATTTCATATCATTTCATTTATTTATTTACCACTGGAATTGCAGCTCCGGAATGGCAGTTCATCTCCTGTAGTCCAATCGTCAAGCCAGTTCGAACGAAAGGAGCGATTGCCGTTTTCTTTCGAATTTTCCAGACATCTGTCATTTTTGTAGCCTGTCACATGACTCGTTGGTTTTGTTTATTACATTTATTGATGAGTAAAGCACCAGATTTTCAAATTAAATACAAATTGAAAATTAAGCAGACAATTTATTAGGTCAATCCAGGAATTAGCAGCAAGATTAAATGTGCTGAACAAATGGGACAAAAGATTTTGAACAGTGTCTTTAATCAGAACTTATCACACTGCAAATGTTATAACAACTCCCTATCGATTGATGCAGTCGGGATCCTAATTTATTTGATATAATTACAATGTACGGATTCAGATTGTTTCAGATGGACCAGTATTGAATCGTATATGTGATTATTCGAAAATCTGTGATTCACTGCGATTTTCAGCACAAAGCGGTGCATTGCCTTTTTCTGGCGTGAAAGAAGCTGATTGTGTAAGTTTTGATAGTAAAACATTTATGTTAGTGTCAAAGTATAAATTAAAATCTTGCAACATTTTATATGTATTTAATAACTGTAGAGGGAGGCAGGAAAAATGGAGGATATCATTTGTTTCATGATTGAATACATGATGCTTGAGGAAGCCATGTCCATGTAAAATTACTACTAAAATTCAAATCCTCACAGGTTTTCTGGTTTGGTGATTTGAATTTTCGCCTTCGAAGTAGGGAGCGAGTTGATGCATTGGATTCACAAAGCAAAAAGCACGAAAATATGACAGACTCCTTCTTCGATCAATTACTCATTGATGATGAGTTGACATTAGAAAGGTGTAAAGGTCCGTTTCTGATTTTTCCAAAAGAAAACAGTATCGCATTCGTTAGGATTAATTGTCTCAACTTTTCAAGATGTTGTAAACAATCCGTTCCATTTTCAGGTAATGTTTTTAAAGGTTTCAATGAGGCTTATATCAACTTTCCACCCACGCATAAGTTTATTCTTGGCACTAACAATTATGTTAGTGATCGGATTCCATCATATACGGTATGAATTTGTCAACTTCGGCGTATTAAACGATAGGAATTTATTATTTCATTGCTTCATTCGCAATAACTGCCAATTTTCAGGATCGAATTTTGTATTATGCAAAAGAATCAAGTCGTATAAGACCCGGAAAATATGATTGCTTATGGGAAGAGAATGCTTCTGATCACAAGCCAGTTTATGGCTTTTTCACTATGCGTGTTTTGGAACAGCGGTATTAATGACTGATAAAACCACTTGTAAAGTATATTTGATGTTGCATTCTTCTATGTGGAAAATTTTCTTAAATGAATGGAATATCAGAACTCTCGAATATCCATTACTCTTCTCAACAGCATGTTGTTTGCTGAACACTAAAACATTTATGCCATCTTATTTATCGCTGTGAAATTATAAGTGCAACCACGAGTAACTTCAGCTGATAAGGAGATGATAAACTGATTTTCACATACTAGCATGCCACTCGCTTGCTACGACAGAATTTTTGTAATTGATGGACTGATCTACTATCCCTTATTATATTCAGATTTCACATTGATTTTAAATTTGAATTCTGTAAACAAAATGCTTGCATGCTGCAGTGTCCATCACTTATAGCCATGGATAGCTAATATTGATGTTCAACTACTACCTATCAAAGTTTGTTGCACTAAGTAAATGCAACAAGTAAGGTATATGAAGTTAACAAAGTTTGTTGCATCTTGTTTTTTTTGTGCAGGTTATTTATTTTCTGCAGTTGATATTGTCATTAGCCTTTGGTCCATGGAGTTGATCTCGATCATTTATCTTTTTCATCTTTGTCCGATGCCCTTTTGCATCGGTTCAGAAGAAGCTTATTGGAAATCTTTGCGCTGGTACTGCTAGTTTTTGAAAATTTTCAAAGAGAGTGCTAGATAGATCCTAATAAAAAGCTATTAGGTAATTTGATGATGATGGAACAGATCCACTCAATTATTTGAATGGTTTGGTGTTCAGAAAACTCTGAGGCAGTATCCTGTATTGCTTGAAAAAAGCCACTGTCATTGTTTCAAGTATTTTGATTTTTCAATCGATCCTACAGTATCATTGCAGTTTCTCTCACCGATGAGTGGTTGATATAGTTCCTTTGCTGCTGGTATTATTCAATCTGAACATTTTTTTTGTTGAGATTCCAAATAATATTTAGTAAATTGTTTGCAAATCATTCATATCAAGATGGATCCGGTAAAATATAACGTAACCGTTTCACAAATGTCAATGAATTATTTTTTTGTCCTCTTGAAATAATTTGTACTTTTCGTCCTCAGAAGATTCAAGTCTTTTTCGTTTAATCTGTCTAAACAAGAAAAACTGTTAAAATAAGGATTACAATACTAATTTAACCTTTTCAAAGGTTTTAAAATCTCCACACCTTGATCAAAATACAAACACAAATGTTTTCATTCCAAATTACTTCCATCATTCGCGGATATGCATTCAAAGTAATCGTGATCATGAAAATATAAATGAAGCTTTATTATTTCTCATATTAACTATTGACTAAACTTTGTAAGCAGAACAAATTCTCAATTTCGACTCATAGAAGCGAAAAACATTTAAAAACTGTAGAAATAACATATCCCAATGAATTGTGAGTTCTTTTGCTTTTTCTTTGAATATCATTTAAACTTAAAAATTTGAAACATGTGATACCGTACAAATATCGAAAAAAATAGTCGTTAAATTCAGTACAGTTAAGTCTCTTTCTTTCTATCGCATATCTTCATAATGCTAAAACTTAGCTTTTGTCAGAAATAGAAGAAAACAAGGACAAAATTGTACTTAATTGTATTGCTACAATAAGTCTTCATAGAAAGAAATTTGAATTAAAATTTAAATTGTACTTGGAAAAAAAATTTCGGATTATTTGTCAGTTTTCATAGAGTTCCACATGTTATTACCAAAAATTGTTTGTTTTAGTAAAGCACGATATGAAACAACTTTGCAGTTATATACTATGTTGCAAATTTATTATTATACATCACAAATGGTTATTAGCAACAATCGAATCTTCTCATTTGATTGCTTAAAAAAAAAAAAAAAAAAAAAAAGAAAATTAAAAGGAGGAGTGTGCAGCAAAAGAAGTCGTTAGAATTTGCGGAGGGACAAAAATGATTATAGTGAAGTGTGGCATAAGAAACCACAAACACGCTCAAGATTTGAAGTTTCAAACTTAAATTAGGTTAGTGCACAGA